GTGTGTGTGTGTGTGTGTCTGTGTGTGTGTGTCTGTGTATGTGTGTGTGCGTGTGTGTGTGTGCAATCAGAGAAAGATGACGAAAACAGATGGCGCTATGTGGAGCACCTACTTTTACTAACTTTGATCGATACAAGTATGGTGACAGATACTCTGAGATACTATACACATCAGTCTTCTGATCAACAGCTATAAGTATACCTTGTTAGGAGTGCCCTTATTGTTGTTTTTTTCTGGGACGAAAATTTAGATCTCTTTCCATAATATTATTATTTATCTCTGGGTCAAAGTAGGGTAACTCCAATCGACACACTTTTCCGGTAGGAACAAACCTTGCATGGTTACGGCATGTCAACTCTTTAACCCCGAACATTCTGGTCATTCGACAGGGCTTGCGGTCGCGGCGTTTTGGGGTGCTTTAAGCAAAATAACATATTATTTTCGCTGTAGATTTTGCAATTTATTGTATTTTAATTATGGGAAACTTAAATGGAAGGGGGGGGGGGGGGCTACACCCCCAAAGTCCCGATTCGGCTCAAAATGATAGAATTTGAGTTGTAGGCATTTTTAGCTTCCTCAGCCTCTCTTACAACTATTTCATTGCATAAGAACCCACAAAATCTGTATTTTTTTCCATACCGGGCATGTGTGTCACCCCCATTTCCTCATGAAGTCAATATTTTTTTTCTTTATCGGCCGTTTTCTCAAACCGCGACTTTTCTCTGAACTTTTTAAAAGAACTCCACCATTTTTCATCTAATCTTCAAGAAATTTTCACACAATGAAGAGAAGATGTAATACTAAAAATGTTCTGTTGAATTTTTGATATATGTAATAGATTTTTGTTGGTGGTATCTGGAGTGTGGATTTTTTGCAAATTTGAATGCTACCTGAGGACAAAATTCATTAAAAGTTTTCAAATTCGTTTAGGAAAAAAACAACACACAAATTTTAAAATCTAATGTTTGTTAACATGCATGCAAAAAAACAATCAATTTCCATAAGCAATAAGTGCGGTATTCATTACGCAAGACATATAAAAAAATCCAATATGGCCGCCGTATCCATGGAAACAAAACTTTTTCTCAAATTTGATTGCGGATTTTAAGACTCCTTACTATGCTTGTTATATGTGTGAAATTTGGTAAAATTCGGTCCAGTAATAAGCGAGATTGCCTTCAGGTGTAACCCCCCC